ATAGTAGCAAATATTGAACTCAATAATATGAATAGTTGAAATCTTTATAAATCCGCACTACTTTCGTTTAATAAACAAGTTCATATCAAGCTTATTATAAGGGCGGGAAGAACACGTCTAAGTGATACATGTAGCGAATAAATATGTTAAAAGACAAACTTTACTTGATTTCTTGAAATATGAGAAATGTAAAATTATTAATTGTAACAAATTCTTTACCAAAATAATGAATGTATGTTAGTTTGCTAATTCTTTAAATTTTAATATTTTGTTGAAAACTTAAATCTCACCATGCTCAATTGCTTTTCCTCAACAATATGTTTAACTTTGGCTAAAAGGGCATCCTCTCTGATACGAGCAGCATCCCTAATTTCCCTTATGATGTCTGTGATTAGACCAGGTTCATAATCCCTCTCGAAATGTCTGGAATGTTGCTGCTGCTGTTTAAGCATATTTAGTTCCATGCGAAGTTCAGTCACTTCCCTATTCAATTTTCGATTGTTGTCTTTCATTATGGAAACCTGCTGTGTCAGCTTTTGTATGAGCAGACTATCAGATGATGTTTCACTGGAGTCACTTTCATTAGGTAAGCCTGGATCTGAGAACCTTCTCTGGTCCTGTGGTTCTGCTGGGTTTCCAAATACAGGTGGAAGTGACATGTATTCATTGCTTTCAGCTTGCGGCATCTTCATGACTGGATTCTGGTATGGCATTGTGGGGTGCATGTGGTAGTAAGGTGGAGGATAGATCGGCAAGGACATGGGTTCAGGCTGTTGTCTGCCATATGAATGGAATGGATAGTAGGTTTCGACGTTGTGGTACTTGGAATTCAAATTGGAATGGAAATAGTTGTATGATGGGTTATTGCTGTCATTGATTTTTGATGTGGAGGAATGCTTACGATCGCGGTTCTTTTTCCTTTGGATCAGCAACGGAGGATTGCCGTTTAATTCAGGAGACATCTTTCCAAAACAGAAAGCTACCGTTTCTTCACTATAACGTTCTTCGTGTTTTCTTCAGCTATTTCTTGTAGGTTACCTCTTGAACATCTGCACAACTCTATAACCGGAGCACATAACAACTTAAAGCAACAGAAAGTTCGTTCACTGAATTTTAAATGGCCAGTAATTAAATTAAAAAGACATTTTCTCTACTGACAATTCGCAACAAATAAACAACACAAGATAAGATTAGTGTAAAGAATATTCCATGTAGATGGCACCACTATACGACATTTAAAAACAATATTCGTCGATAAGTAATTAACTTTATTTGTTAAGATTAAAGAGGCATCATTATGATCTCCACTTAAAGGATTCAATAATCTTGGAATATAATACAAATTGTTAATGATATGTAAAGTACTAATGGAATACAACCAAACGTTCACCACGTAATCTCTTTACATACAAAACCAATTTAGTTAATAGTTATATAATGGGGATTAAAATAAAAACAGCTGCAAGTTACAGGGCAGATTTGTTGAAAGACCAAACTTTAATGTACACTACTCCACAATGAAATGGATGAAATAATCGACATATAACACACGAGCAAGAAAATTCAAAGACGTTGTAGTGATTGCCAATATGGCAAATTCTATTTAGTATGAATGACAAACAAAATAAGTAACAATTAAGAAAGGTCACTACTACAAAAAAAATGCACAAGTTGAAATAAAACAATAAATTACTCTAGATATAAACAAAAAAAAAAAGGAAAAAAGACCATTTATGAAACAAATAATGGAATTTAAATTACTAATAAAAAGAAACAAAACTTGAACAGATTTTTCGTTTTGGCATTAAATGTAATTTGTCTAATTCTGCTTCTTGTTCTTGGTGATGCTACACGCGATTGTGTAGAACACTGGAAACTTCTGTATCGCAAAGTAGATTGTTACAAGGTATGCAACTATGCCCATAGTCAGGATGAGATCAAAAAAGGCTGGTTTCACGCTAAAAAAAAAAAAGAAAATTCATTAACGAATAGTCTTGCGAATATAATAGTAATATCGTACCTGTAGACATTCATGGTTCCTTGCGTTACATCGTAGAACACAAACTCGGGGTCGCGTTTATCTGGAATGGCGTAAGTAATCTTTACGTCCCTAAGATACCTGCCGAAGGTATCTTTCAACTGCGATACAAGAACGTTGTCTTTATTAGATAACATCTGAGCCGACCGGGACTGAGAGCTCAAATAGTCCAACCACGCTTCCACAGCGTTGCGTTCAACTTTCTGCAAAAGTAAAAAAAAAAGATAATTTGATACAAAATTTATGAAAAACAATGAGTGTGCTGAATGTATAATAATTAAGTAATATACCAATGAATTTCCGAATACCGCGCCACCAGTAAGGTTGTAGATGTGATTGGCTAAAGCATCAGCAACGATCTGCGTGTTTTGTACGAGGGTGTCCAAGCTCAGATTGTCCCGTACATCTAGAATCGTGGAGCGCTTGAAGTCTTTGTGGGATTTTAATGAAGACAAAGTAAATGATGGAAGTCTGCGAATGCTGAACCTCTCGTGTTCCCAAGCTAGAAGATCATCCGCTAGGTTGATCTTTTTATGCACGCCTTCAACGCTGGCCTCGACGAAACTATCAGATGCTAATTTCAACTTGTTGAAGAAAATAGAAGCAGCCGATCCCTCTTTAGGTGGCTTCGAGACGTGCATGTACAACGAACTGCTTGATGCCGTCGAATCCAGGCACATCACATAGGAAGCTTCCTAAAAAAAATGTCAAATGTATTTAATTTAAAGTGGTGTTAGGTAACAATCTTATTACTTGAATTATGGAACCGTCTAACGAGTCCAATTGGTCTTCCAACCATTTTTTGCTTCCCTGGTAGTTCAGTTTACCAGCCCCGGTCAAGAGAAAAACGATATTGAATTTACCGTGCGTTTTTGGATCGGAATATAATACGGAAAATAATCGTACTAACTCCAAGAGCATCGCAACTCCAGATCCATTCGAGTCCGCCCCAAATGCTAAATCCTACAAAAGACAATAAAAGGTAATTTATTTAAAAACAAATCAAATTTTATTTACTTACAGGTGCCACACCAAAACTATCATAATGAGCTACAATTGCAATGGTAGGAATTTTACCATCAGCACTGTGGCCTACCAAGTTTCCTTGGATTGTGGCTACCTTAACATCAGTTTTGGCACTTGGTGTTTTAGGACTAACAACAATTTGATAGCCATTAGCAGATACACTGGCTAGCATAGCTTCAGCAGCAGATATCTTCTTGTCATCTGCTGCATTATTGGTTCCAACCTCCTTAACAATATTATTCAATTCCTTGGTTTCCTTACAAAAATATACAGGGATTTTAATGTCCTCCATCATCATGGCATTTTCCAATAAGACCAAGTGCTGTAAATAGAAACACCCACAATAAAGACTGAACCTACTCAATGTCAACAATAAACATTTCTTCTTACATGTTTGTCTTCCTTTGACAATTTGGACAAATTGTTTGGTAACACAACCAGCAGTGCACCTGCCTTGTTGCGGATCTCCATGAAATGATCGACAGTCAGATCCTTGAGTTTGGTGACAACACAATGCCTTGAGGTTGTCCATCCCATCAAAGACCTTGCCTCCAAATTAATTGAAGCGCTTCTGCATCCTGAAAGCCAATGTTGATGTTTAGATTTTTAGTGAAAACTAAAAAATAAAGGTTATGCATTTTGTCGCAAAAGCAAAATGTTTATGATCGTAGGTGTAGGTTTTGGGCAATGCACTTACCATGTGATACGCCGTGCAAGTCAAAATGTTGCATGCGATAAACGGGAAATTCGTGCGAGGCTGCTACAGGATTCGCTGGCGAAATGATAATGAATATCGGCAAAAAGATGAGCACATAGTATGGTAAAAACCCTTTGAAGAACTCTTCCGTGTGTTCCAGCCACATTTTAATTCAAAAATTTCAAACAAAACTACGTAATGACTAGCATAATCGGATAATAAAAGAAAACTAGGTAAATTGGATTAGCTCATAAAATCCAATAGCCAACATTGAAGGCATGAAAATCCCTGCCACGTTGCTCTTAAATTAATACCAACACAAGTTTCGAAATATACAGGGTTGATCTACATACAGTGAGATTTGTTTAATGAATCAGACAAGAAATTCATCAAGACAAAAAGTAAAAAAAAGTGAAATTATTAATTTTAAATCATTTTCTTTTATAAATAAATATTTTTTTTAAATAAAAAGAGATTTATATCAATTTATTATTGATATTAATCTATTTTGGCCACAATTTTTTGTTGGTCTTTGGCAATCGAACCAACGACCTTTAGTATCATATTATCGTGATACAGGCGACCATAGCCAAAAATTAAATATAATATCTTCTTTTTCATGAATAACAATAATTTGCAGATTGAATATTACAAATTACGTTCTACTTTTGTTTAATCTATTAAGATTGATAGATTTGTCTAGACCAGGGATGGCCAAACTGTGGCTCGCGAGCCGCATGCGGCTCTTCAAGAGTCTTGTTGTGG